AGAGACTGCAGCACCATTTACATTTTAGCTCTTTGTACACGTAAATGCTCCCCAGAGTGAAAAGATTTGAGTTAAGAAAGTTGTAGCCGAGTTTAAAAAGAATTTGTTGCTATACAAGAAATACAAGGATGTTATAATGACTGTTTGGTAAATGTTTTGGGTGTTTAGCCTTACTCTAAATCACCACCGGTACACTCTTAACCTATTTATTTTATCCACATTGTATTGCACATAATAGTTATAGCTACTTACATATAATACACATAAAGGTGCAGTATGCTCGTAGTATTTTCTTTACACCTTTTTTGTATTTTAACTATTCAAAGCATTTCTAATTTTCCAGTTAGATTTAAATCAGTTTTAAGTTATTTACCTTGATTTTGATTCAATATTTTTACTCTCTGGCGCTCTTCAACTGTGCACTGCGACACACATATCTGCACATTTTGGGACATATAAAGGTTCTCTTATCTTATTTTCCTCCTTTTTTTCCTTAAAGATGTGCATTTTTGTAACAACTATTTTTTTTTTTTTTTTTTTTTTAATTGAACAAATACTTTTAAGACGTTTAAGTTGACATTAAGGTACATTTAGTTATTTATATTTTACAGATTTTAAAGTGTTTTTGTCTTTAGATCAGCGACCAGTGCAAAAATAACAATGCGTATTTGACTTATATGTCAACCAAAATACAGTAAATGCATTTAACATCATTTCATGACAGCCTTAAGGAAAAACACGATAAACCTATTTACATTGCAAATATAGGCCACCGCACGTGGAAAAAAAATCTAACAAACTTCCACTAGCTGCAGGCCTACGTAAAAAGTTAATAGAGGAAAGAAAAGGATTATGCAAATAAAATCACTTTGTTAGACAATGTGCCACTAATTACTAACATCTGAATTATTTAACGTTTAGAGCGTTTTAGAGAAATCGATTGCGTATTTTAACGAATATAAGATAAATGTTGGTTTTGCTGATTGACACAAACTTCTCGATCCAAACTTTACCTTGAGCCGAGGCACTTCCAAAAGGAGGCGGGGTTAGAGCCTGAGCTCCTGCTGATTGGTTGCACTTAGAAATAGAGCAACGTGATTGGCCGTTGCTCGAAGAAGCCCTGCGCTTTCCACTTGGCCTCTTTAGACACAGAGGACAAGAATCAATTCCTTCATCCTACTACGGCGAAAGTCACGTTTTTCTGGCGCTGCGCAAAAGTGAACTGCGTCATTTCTGGACGGGACCGTGCGTAAAATTAATCCATGTGGATTTTTCTCTATTTGGGAGAATTGAAACAGGATTTAAAGGACTCGTCACAGGTAAGAAATGCATCCAACTTTTTTTAGACAAACTTTTCAGATAAAACGGGTAATCTTTTTCAGCAAAATAAGAAGACTATAAAATAAGATTATACATATTACGAGTAGGCAACATATAACTTCGGCCTAGAGATACTTAAACAGTGTGTGTGAACAATTTGTGAGTTTGTAATACTTTGTTTCCATGGCTCTTATTTTGCGTTCACTTCCCGAAAAACATTTATGGAATGCAAAAAAAGCAGATAGCTCAAATATAATTTTCTGACGTTTTTAAATATTATTTTTATCTATCTATTTATTTATTTTTACATATTTTACTTGTGTAGAGTCGTGGCTGAATTTTCGGGCCAGTTTGACCTGTATACGGCCCTGGCACTGAAATTACGCACGATATTATTTTTGTTTGTAAAGTATCAATAAATTATTATCCGTGAAATATAAATAAGTTCATTATTTGAGACATGTTGTTTGTCATTTTGAGTGTAATGCCAAACAATGCCATGCATCAAACGGGTAATACAAAGCAATGGAGAAAATGCGCACACCTTAACTGCGTGATGTGCAGCGTAACTTTTCATCACTGAAAAATGTATCTAAAATGACACATTTGAGACAACATCCGCGCCTTTTCAGCTCGACGTCTTCATTAGCTTACATTATTGATCAAATGCAAAAACACAGTAACATCTTGCGTAAAAATGTGGCACAATTAAGGCCAATGCAACTGCAAAAAAGACATGTCTTCTCCTACTAAAACATATCATAATACGCGAAATAATGTATCTTACGTAAACTAGGCCTGTATATTTGAATACTTTTGCGTAATTATCTCAACTATTACCACAAACAAGCCAAACTCGCGGTGGCGGTTTCACTATCCGACTTTTACAAATGAGTGAATTGAGTTCATGAATAGTTTGTTGATATTACGCATTCTTCTACTCTTGTATCCGTCCGAATCTAAACTAATCTAGTGATTGTCCTCCTCACTTTGCATAATGCTAACAGATAACCAAACTATTGTCATGGGAAGCGCTGATAAGGCCGGCTCCGCTAATTGTCTGAATGCGCATGGTAATGGGGTTGATTTGTGCGCAGTTTGTGGCGCATTTCCTTTTCAACAAACTCACATTAAGACCAAATTACTGCATTCGGTTTTGACTGCAAAGACAATGGAAGTCTATGGGAGCCCTATCTAAATACATTGTCTCCGTCCTAACGCATTAACAGCGGGGAGTTGTTGGACTTACTAACGCAGCCTGACCACGTTAAGTTTTAGTTTACATTGTCACAGTTAGCGGCAGTTGGGACGTGCGAAACAGACAATAGCTCATTCTCCTGCAAAGTTAATTACATTTCAACTATAGGTCGACAGTAAATAGGCCTATACAATAATAAAGTAATTAAGAAAGTTTTATCATGTTTTGAGTAAATTTCAGTTGACAGGTAAAATGATCTACACTGGAACAAGACTTTTTGTACTTCAAAAAATATGGAAATACACCAATTCTGCGCTTAAAAGAGAAACAAAATCTAATGTTGCTTGAATTAAGAAAAACACACTTCAAGTTGAACCTACTCAAATAAAGTAAAATATTCTTAATTGAAGTCATTTTAATGTACATATACGGCTTTTTGCAGTGTGCTGTGTCTACTCAGAACTCTCCTTTTAACTGCTTTTGAATGTATTTTATTTTTGAAAACACTGCAGGCAAAATATAGGCTACAGCACATTCACATTATAAAAATATGATAATCAACTAACGGCTAATATAGGCCTAATATATAGGCCTAACTATATTTATAATCTTATTATAACTCCTAAACACATAATAAACGTAAGTGAAGTAAAGTGAAACTCAGCTGAAAAAAAAAACAAAAAAAAAAAACACGTTTCTAGCCTATGGTTCATAAATTAATTATAGGTTGAATTTTATGGAAAGTGCTTAAATTAATATTAAGTCTCCACACTGTCTTTTCATAAATAGAATTAACCATATATTTATTAAAACAAAACATAAAACATATTCTTAATTTTTTTTTTTTTTTTTTTCGTGGACATTATTTAAGATATATTGTGTAAAGTATAGATTATAGAGTAAATATGCAGTTATTACAAAAGTGCAGAGACAGTATTTTGTGATTGAATCAGAAAACATAAAGATTCCATTTCAACTGGGTGAGCTAAAGTAGGACGTCCCAGATTAACAGGTCTGACGTGTGTTTGGCTCTCACTGTATAAATACCAAACGCCTTTTCTAATTCTACTTTTTGTTCTGACCGTATTTATTGTGCAAGTTACAATTATTCTGTCATCACAACTTTTTATGCATTCTCACAATATTGTCACAAAATGTCTATTCAGTCTTCAGTTTTCCCTACTTCTCATTATTATTCACAGTTGCGCAAGCTGTCAGTTATCAGGGCAGGTGTCATATGTTAATCTTGGCTTGTACATTCAAAGTGTATTGCTCATTTCAACTTTCATTTTTAATTCAAGTCAGTACTGCTTTTTTGTTTGAAGTTTATGGACAATCAATGAATGCCTCCAATTATCATAGTTTTAAGGATAATGTTCAATCAGACTTTAATGAAACAGTGATGGGAAGAATACTTTGAAAATGTATTTAGTTACAGAATACAGAATACTGGCATTGACATATATTTTGTAATGTGTTCCGATACATGGTCCAATCAGAGTACTGTATTCTGAATACTTAGAATACTTTTACACTGAGTTGCATTTAAATTGTAGTGTCAAATCACAACAGACTAATATCAGCTTTATATTTATTTACATGATCAAATACCGTAATGTATTCTTTGATTTTTAGAAAAGTAACTGTACCAGAATATTACTTAAAATTTGTATTCATAGTATGTATTCTCAGTACATGTATTCAGTTACTTTCCAACATTGGCAACAAATTATTCTATATAACCATTAAAGGCTAAAGTAAGATTCATATTCTTGATTATTTTATTTTATTTTTATTTTTTTTAGCTCAATCTAATAAGATATCTTGTTAATTACTGAATATTAACACAATAATAGTTGACCGATTGATGTCTCTTATCTGAAGGGTCCAGGCAAACAAAGATACTTAAAAAAGGTAAACAGGTGTGATCCTTTTGGCTCTGATGCATTCATTGTCATGACTGATTAAGATGGTGTTATTAAACCTGCAATATGAAATCCCCAAAGATCGCCTTAGGATATGCTCTAAATAACATTACCTGTTCCCATCAAAGACTATTAAATGATATGTATTTTATATCCTCACTGAGGCCAATATACGTGGCACAAAATACTCGAGAAAATAAGTCGATGCGATACACAGAGCTAGATTTAAAGACTGATTTAGTTTTCACGTTTACATGTTATTGTTATAAGGTTTTTAGTTTCTGTATATTAGTGGTTAAGTTTTTGCTCAAGAACTAGAGGCCAGCCAGTTTGAATCCACTGTGTTATTGTGGGCCTATTTGACAGGTCAGCATGTCAAATTGTACGGTTGAATCATTTTGGCCTAGTAAATGCAAGGTAGATAGAGTCATATTAACTTTGTAGATGTTTTTTTTTTTTTTTTTTGCAGTATATGTAACCATGTTTCGCTTCCTGTTTGAACAGGAGTCCCTCTGGCCCTCCTGTCCCCCCTCCTCGGCAGCTGTCCTTCTTGCACCATGATGTCCTATCTGAAGCAGAGCCCCTATGGAATGGCTGGGCTGGGCCTGGGCAGCGCTGTGGACCTGCTGCACCCCACTGTGGGATATCCAAGTACGTAAACAAAACATACTGACCAATAGAAGTCAAAAGCAGGTGCATCGGACTGGGGGGGGCAACACATGGAGGGGCCCCTCACAAAGTCTGTAATGGACATTTTTCATTGGGGCCCACCAAGATGATATGTGCCCAGAATTTGATGCTATAGCTTTGGTCAAAAGTACTCTAGTACTGGAAGCGAGATTCTCATGCATTTCCCTGTTATGAAATACACACACAATATTGACATACATGTTGGATAGAGTCATACTCATGACCATAAAAATATAAATTTGTAAAAAGTTGGATCTTTTTTCTTTTTTTTTTTTTAATGTTTTATAGAATTTGAATATAATCACTCAGTGGACAGCCTATCCGATAGCTCATTAGCTATTCTGATGGTTGGTCTGCCATTTGCTTGGCTCTATGGAGATCTTATTACTTTGCCTAGGGTGTCAATTTCAGTTTTTTATGTTGCAAAAAGTACATAGAAAATCATGCATTTGTACTCTGAGCAGGGTTGTCTCTCCACAGATCTTATATAGGGCACTTTTAAGTACATGGGTAAAAAAAGGAATTTTTACCTCTAGAACTAGAAGTCACTGCCTGTTATTGGGCTCCATAACTGGCGCTGTTGTCTGTACTAATTATGGATATTCAGCTAATGTACTCTACCCAGACAATAGAGTAATGTGTATATTTACACCATATATAAATATTATTTCTCTTCCAACAATGGACCCAGTTGTTTATAGTGCTTCATAACTTTGTTCACAGCAAATCCTCGTAAGCAGCGGCGTGAGCGGACCACCTTCACGCGCACTCAGTTGGACATCTTGGAGTCTCTGTTCGCTAAAACCAGATACCCTGACATCTTCATGAGAGAAGAGGTGGCTCTGAAGATCAACCTGCCTGAGTCCAGAGTCCAGGTAACACTAAGACTGTGTAAATGTGTATACAGATCTATCATCTCTCCATTTGGCCCGATTGCCTTGTTGAGTAGTGGTTCAGAGCCACAGAGCAGCACTGTATCTGGGTTGGAGCCAGTGTCTTCACTTTTCATCTAATAACTGTCTGGACGTTTCGGTTTTCATCCCATACTGATAAATGTGAATCAATTCAGAGTGCTACACATTTCCATCTTTCAATTCCCCCCTTCGCAACTCAGAACATTGAGACTGAATCCAGTGTCTTTGCACAGAATAGTAAAGGACCTTTTTATACCAGATGCCCTACTTGGGTAACACGAGAATGTATTATACAGTTTCTAACCTTTATTCCTTTTTTTTCTTCAGGTTTGGTTCAAAAACAGACGAGCAAAATGTCGCCAGCAGCAACAGAGCAACAACACAAATACCAACAATACGGCTACTCCTAACAATACCAGCACCTCCAAAGTGAAACCTCTGAAGAAGAAACCATCTCCAATCCGTGAGAGCAGCGGATCTGAGAGCGGCGGACATTTCACCCCTCCCTCCACCAACTCTTCTTCTACCCCTCCCTTGCCCCCCTCGATTTCTTCTTCTATGTCCTCCAGCGCATGCCCACCTGGTTTGATGAATGCCTCTACCTCTGTCACCGCTCCAGTGTCTTCCATTTGGAGTCCCGCGCCCATTTCGCCAGCGCTAGCCCCGGTTAGCATGCCCGATCCGGTTGCTAACGGTAGCGCGTCTTGCATGCAACGTTCAGCCGCTAGCGTTGGATCCACGACTGCGACATCCTACCCGGTTTCTTACAGTCAAACGGTAGCAGCTTATAGCCATCACCAGGGTTATCCCACAGCAACCTCAGGGTCCTATTTTGGAGATTGTGGGTCGTACCTACCCATGCATTCACAACACCACATGGCGAACTCGGCGATGTCCGGTCATCATCATATTGGACATACCGGGCACCCCCATTCGCACCATCACCCTCATGCAGCCTCCCACCACCAGGCGTACTACAGCTCCACGGACTGTTTGGACTACAAAGATCAAGCATGGAAACTCAACTTCAACGCATCCGAGTGTTTGGACTACAAAGACCAGGCGGCATGGCGGTTTCAAGTGCTGTGACCACTTCCTGTTAGTACAGACTGCATTCAAAGTTATGATACCGACTTGAGTACTGTGAAGACTTGGGGTGAAGAGGCTGCTTACGTGATTATGGAATTCAAAGGTGGATGACTGATACTTTGCAGAGAAGTCACGCTGGGGGTGTTCTGATCTACATGTACTTCTAATGCTGGAATGATTAGGGGTTACCATGGTAACGAATGCAAATATTAGCAAACACTGCCAGAAACGTTTTAAGGTAGTCTGAAAACTCCAGAAAAAGTCAAATTGATTTAAACAACACATTTTATAAGCCGTGATCAATACAAGCATTCATGGTCCTGTTCAGGTGTTAATTTTCAACAAAAAGGTCAGAGAAACTAACTGAAAAAACTCTTGGCCAGTGACAGACCTGTTTAAGTGGACAAATCATCTCACCATGTTCCAAACAAGTCAGCTCTTTCTGGTCAGATTGTGTTCAAATAAAGCTCAGAGTAAAGTTCAAAGTTGCTTCTAACAGAGTAGTGCTTTCAGTTAGCTTCACACCCCCAGAGAATATTGATGACATCAGCTGCAAAGTATCAATAATATAATATAACATTAAGATTAAAATTGGATCTTACATACATTGTTGTTTCTCTTCCAGGCAAATAGCTGTAATCCCATAATATATGAAGCTCAGATGCACAGGCATGAAACAGGTATTCTAATTCTGGGGTAATTTGCTAATCTAAACCATGCATTCTTTTGACCCAACAAACTTCTAATTCACCAAGCAAAGCCTGCAAAATATAACTTGGTTCAACGCTTAACTGATAAAAATAACAGCAGAAATTAGCAACTTTTAGCATGCAGCCAAAAACTGCTAATAAAAGTTATTATGACGTTCTCTACCCATGGCACTGACAGTACACGCATCTATTGATTGTCTATGATTTTGTTCTGTTTTCATGATATAAGTGATTTCTCAAATGGAGATTGGACTAATATTAAAGACATTTTAAAATATATATTGAGGCACAAAAAGGATATTTTTCTACTTTTACAACTGTTATTTCGTACATTTTGGACATGCATCTTTGGAGTTTGAGTGGACAATTACTCCTTGAACAAAAAAGCAATGGACTTTTCCTTCAATAATTCCTATTAAAGCTATTGAGATTTTCAAGCTGCTGCTATAAGAATTTCAGGTTTTGACTTTTTGGAAACTGGGTGTTGTATTTTGGAGATAAAATGGCAGCACTTGTTTTTAAGGTGAAATATTTTAGTTTTTTGTTCTTTGCAGAGAAGAGAAAATAAATAAAAATGTGATTGAGACGCACAATGTAAGTATTTCATGGACTGATGTACATTTGTCTTTATAATAATAAAGTTTCTTTAATGAATAATACCTTTTTCTTTTACTTGTTTACAAAATAAAAAACACATTCTGGATTTTGGGTGGTACAAATACAATCCAAATGCACATGTTCTGAAGGATTTTCTGTGCTTAAGAGAGATGGTAATTTAGACAAACACAATATCAGCAAACAAATGGTATTTCCTATATTGTGCACTATATAACATTTCCGAAGAGAGAGATGTTCTTCATTTATGTCCTGCAGCATCACAGCAGCATCCAGAGGGAGAAAGATCAACAGATGTTTCGGTCAGTGATGAAATGGTTCATTCCCTCAAAGTATTTCCTCTGGAAGGTCTTCTGTCTGATTTGGTGACACATTTTACATGGTGTAAAAAGCCTGTTGCATCTCAAATGTCCATTGCCTAGCTCTTTACCTAGCCTCCTGTACAGTCTCCATGGATATAGGAAAAACAAATAGTTTATTCCACACAATGCAACTGTCCCTTTTTTTAATTCCCTCAAACGGTCCACCACCTGCTTGTCTTCATGAAGGTGTTTTTTTTTTTTTTTTTGTCTGGAGTGCTCCATAGTATGACTTTAAACTTATCTTCAACATGCATTCTTACTGTCACCTATCCACAGATCTGATCTGTAAGATTGCCTGGTGATCATGGACATATACGTTTAATGTCATACTGTGGGACAAGCAGATGGTGGACCCTTCAACAGAAAAATCACATGGTGCTTGTTAATATAAAATAGTAGAAATGTGTCCTTGGGCAAGACACTTGATCCACCTCACTTAATTAATTACTTAATTATAGCGCCTTTCAAGCTACCCAAAGTGCTTTACAGTTCATTACTCATTCACTCAACACTCATTGGTGGTAAGCTACTACTGTAGCCACAGCTGCCCTGGGGAAGACTGGCAGAATCGAGGCTTCCAATCTGTGCCTTTGGCCCCTCACCACCATCTGTCACGCACGTACCACTTTCATACTAGGCAACGTGGATAAAGTGTCTTGCCTAAGGACACAATGACAGTTTTTGCCACTGGCACGCCACTGTGGCACCTGGAATTCCCAGTGGTCTCCTATCCAAGCAGTACCCAGGCCTGGCCTTGCTTAAACATATATCTAATGGAATGGGACTTATCCATGCTTATATTTTATTTGATATTCTCATTCTCCATATTGTCCACATGGTTAAATCTGAACAAGCTCAGTACTGTGTGGTGAGACGTTTACTGCTCATCTGAAACCTTCATATTGACAAACAGTGGTCACATTACCATACGGACAACTTACACTGCTGACTACAGTTTCTGCACAGCTCATTTTCAACCCAAGCTATTGTCCAAAGAAAAACGCAAATGCAAAATAACCATAAAAAAACGAAATATGTGTAGACAAGGCAAGTTTATTTGTAGACTGCCATTTGTACATAAAGTAAATCAAAGTGCTATACAAAGTAATATAAAAAACAGTAAAACCAAAAAAGTAAATGTACAGATGAATACTGAACACAACAGCATTGAGGTTAGATTTGTCCGCAGAAAGCTAGTGCATGGAAGATAACAATACTACCCACAACTGAAATCCTATTCCTGGGAACAGCTCTAAACAAACTCTTTTCAACTATTTAAGGAATTGACATACAATTCCTCATAATAAACCTTGCTTGTGTGGGGACAAACATTTCAGTTGTTTGTCTGAAGATACAACACATGGTTTGATCCGAGCAGAAGAAGCCCCACTCACGATTTTCATTAAGACTCTACGGGCAGCTGGTCTAACAGTAAACATGGTGACATTGGACTGGACCATTTAAGCTAATCCTCCACCGTGTTCAACATTTACTCTTCACACAATCAGCTGTCTGCTCAAGCTACACACGTATTCATCACAGATATCTTATAATGCAAGGGCCTACGATGTTAATTAAATGATAAAATGGGGATGACATCTGATTTTGGGTCATTTGAGATGGACTAAACCAGGACCAAACCAGGACTAAATCAGGACTAGTATCTTACTGAATACTCCTCTCTCTCTCCTCTTGCGTTGGCTGTTGTGGATAAACAGCGTCTTGAGGGCCAGTGCTCGACTTCAAACAGACTCTGAAGGATTAACACGCAGTGAAAGGCAGAGAGGCAATCCCCATTAAGTCCAGTCCTGTGAATGAGGCAGGAATGTGCGGCCTTCAGGGAGGATGGGAAAACTCAGCTTCAGACCAAACAGCCAAGATTCTCAACAAACAAAGGCAACTGATGGGCTAAATAGGTGATGATTCTTATGGATTTTGAGTCATTATTGTATGTGTGTAGTTTTGTCTGCAGCATTTGAGAATAAATGCATTGTTTGGCTAGTTCAGTATGGCTGCAGAAATATGATGGATTTTGTCAATAATGTTCTGTTGTTGTTTTTTTTACATCTGATCCTGAGCTCTACACAACGGATCCATGAAATTATTTTCCATTTGACACAAAGTTTGCATTTTCTTTTTCCCTCCGAAAAATACACTATCAGTCAAAACTTTGGAATTGTTTTTCATTTTTACCCTTCTTTGTTCTTTATTTTCATTACTACTAATATTGTAGTAATGTAATGTACTGAAAGCCCCAAAACTACAAATGAACACACAAGGAATGTAATACACAAAATTCAAAAATTTATCTAGATTTTAGATTTTTAAAAATAGCCTCCCTTTGCTTTTCTCACTGCTTTGTGCTGCATTTCTTGACCTTGATAGGGCACAACTGTCAAGTGAAAACCATTTCAGAAGACTTCATCATGAAGCTCATTGAGAGAAGGTTTGTCGACAAACTAAAGGCGGGCTACTGTGAGGAATTTGAATATAAAATATAAAAGAATATTTAGTTCAGTTATTCAACTTTTGTTTTTGCTACATAAATACTATTTCACATTTTTATATAATTCTTGTTTTATATATTTGTTGTCTTCAGTATATCTGCCTGTATCTAAAATTAAATGAAAAAACATTGAGAAGGTGCATCCAACTTTTGACTATTGAATGTAGTGTACTTATAGATTAATATACTTTAGTCTACTGTCCACTTTCTTTTTTCAGAAGTGTAGCAGTGACAGGTTGGGGCGCGCTGTGTGCTGCCCCTCGGAGCAGTCTCTTTCTGATTGACAACTCGATGTAACTTTAGAAACCTGGGATTAAGTCTGTCATCACATACGCACACAGACAAGCACACATATGTTGGGTTTCCATGCTTCTTTGGGACATTACACTGACTTACATTCATTTCCTTAATACTGATCCTAACCTTAACCATAGTACTCGCCTAAACTTAAGCTAAACCTTAACCTATTTTAACCTATACCTGAACTTTAAACCATGTTGTTCATTATGGGGACCTGATTTTTGTTCATGTAAGGCAGGCAGGTGCTTTTGATCTGAGCACATGTTCAGATTTTAGTCCCTGCAGCGTGGTGAATACCAGTCCACGCTTGGGCACATAAGGAGTAAAAGAAAAAATCCCAAAGTCATTGAAGTGAACGCAGCAAATAGGCAGGAGGCAGTCACTTCAGAAGGTAAAAAGTTCATCGGGGCCTGCATCATATTGGTGCTTTTTAAAAATTTTTATAATGTGTAGGCCACGGGTGTCCAAAAGTTTTCCTCTGGTGAGCTACCTACAAAACAAAAATAT